TTTTTTACTTTGTTAATATTCAACTATTTTTCAAAGTGCTAATTGGAGGTCTTTGATAGCAAATTGCTTAATTAAAAATACATATCTTTTCAAACTTGCTTTCACTGGGCAAGATGACAAGTATCATTTTTAACCATCAGCCTTCCTTCACTAAAACGATTAATCCAATCATTAATTGAATTTATAGGAATTCATTTATCTCAATAAACTGTGTACAAATTATTATATGATACAGTAGAGGGATTTCTAAGATATTACAATAAATTGTACAGTCGTTTGTTGAACGAGTTCGACTGAGACAACCATTTTAATGTCGCAGCTGTTGCAGAAAAAATACATAACTGGCATAATTGAGTTATGTAATTTTTTCAGCAATAGCTGTGACATTAATTCCTATACTAACAGACAAAGAAAGACATTTGATTGTTTTATATTTACATCTGTATGAAAAACATTCAAAGTAAAGTAAAATGTGTTAAATATTGATAAATATGTCGTATGCATAAATGATGGAACAGCCATTGTTCAAGAAATCTTTGCACGTGGCTTGCTTAGAGTCGTTTATAAATTGCACTGATTAATTGCAATTGTCTTCATAAGAAATGAAGGAAAAATATTCAGTGGATTTAAATATTCTGTAATTTAATGACATTAAGAATGATGGGCCTGTATGATAGTTCAGATTTAAATGCAGTCAAAATACTTTTAATACAAGTACATTATCGAAATTTAATTTCCTTTTAAACTGTTCAATTTATGATAACATCAAGATATGTAGTTTTGGCAATGTCACTAATCTTGCTAAAAATACATTTGTAGATGGGACCCAGCAGTAGTAAATCGGAGGACCACTTAGGTTATACACCTTTACACATAGCTTGTTATAATGGTGAGATATGGTTATTTTTAATAATCGGAAATTTTAAAACTATTCAATTTTCATATCTATTAAAAGTCTGTAGCAAATTATATTCCTAGAGAAAATAAAATGCAATATCTTGTTTTTTTAATACAATGCAGGCCAAGACAACTGTGTGGAAACCATTTTAGAACAAGAAAAAATAACTGAGCTTTCAGGGAACCCCTTCTCACCTCTTCATTGTGCTGTGTGAGTATAGCGAGTGTACAGAACATCTGAAATTCTCTTAAATTCAGTTCAGCTTTCATATCTTGAAAACTAGTAACTTGAAGCTGATATGTCTATGCAATTTTATAGTCTCAACCCCCCTTTATTTATGTATTTTACCTTCGATATCTCTTTTCTTCTCTTCCTGTTGAATTCAAGATAATGATTCTTAGCCAAATTCTGACGTACATGTACAGTAGCTAGAAAAAGTACATGTATGATGTAAAGTACACGTCAAGTAGCTCCCATTCAAACAATGGAAAACATTTTGTAACAAAGCAGTTAATGTGGGTGTATTTGAATTTAACATTAAACATGTTTTCTTATTGATGTTTAATTTACAGTACAGCAAAATTGTGTAAATTTAACATTGTTGTTTATGATTTTTTTCAGGATAAATGGAAATGATACTTGTACAGAAATTTTATTAGAAGCTTTAGGTGATAAAATTGTGAACTTAACAGATAGCAAGGGAAGGTAAGAAGCTCAAAAAAGATTATATTATATGTACACTACATTTGACTGGTAGATTTTTTAAAACAATTTGAAATGCTGCAAATGTTTAACTGTTTTAAAATCTTTTGTTATCAATTTTTAATGTGAATATATTTCTCTATATAGTTTTTAGTGATAATTAAGTTAAAAAGGAATTAGAATATTTTATGATTGCCCTCTGCTCTGCATAGGAGTAACAATTATATAATATCACATTCATGTGATATTGTCATTTCATGCCATAAGGAGAATATAGGGACTATTCTTTACTGAATATAACAAGACTGTATATTATTATTGCTTTTTAGGACCCCCCTACATGCGGCGGCCTTCAGTGACCAGTGTGAATCTATGCAAATGTTACTTAACCATGGGGCACTGGTCAACCACTGTGATACAACGGGGAAATCCCCCATCATGCTTGCTGCAGCCAATGGCCACGCAGCAGCAGTAGGCAAGTTATTTATAAATTTGTTCTTTTATAAAAATATTTCAGACTGTACATCCCCAACCAGTTGAATATTACATAAATCTACATTATCTATTGAAAGAAAACTAATTTTTTAAATGAAGTTAAATCCATGCTCTGGTTTTAGTGGTCTTTGGTTTCTTTTTTAATTCACTACATGCCATGTATTATCATACAATATTCAAGTTCATTGTAAATTTTTCAGAAAATGTTTTTCAGTGATTCTGTTTTGATGTCTCTTACAAACTATGGTTTCTAGTCGTTTGAACCATAAATATAACTGTAAACCCACTTTTATTCTCGAGATAGAAATATGCACAACTTTTGTGACCTTTATTCGAATGTATATCCTCAAGAACAAGTTATTTACCTTTATGTTCTTATGTAGAATTTTGCCTCAGTTGCATTAGTAGTCGCAGATGGATTCAAAATGAAGAATCACAAATAAAAAGATGTCGTCAATAATAGTTGGTTTACAGTATAAGTGACATTTTTTTACAAAGTGTAGTTCAGAATATGCTGGCTTTTTTCTTATATTGTTACTGTATATTTTTCTTTTGCAGAATTATTATTAGAACAAAATGCTGATCTTTCGTTAACTGATAATGAAGGGAATTCCTCTCTACATTTTGCCTGCTCAAGAGTAAGTAGTACTACCTCAAATGTAGGAAAAAATGAGTATAGCAGATGAAATCTGGAGATCATAATACATGAGTCTTTTATAGAACTTTTGTATTTTTGAAGTATTGTTCAAGTATTTGTTAATTCATGTGTCAAGATAAATGTAAAACAGAATTCTAAGAGGATTTTTCTTTGTATTTTGTAACCCTTAAGTTTTTAGAACTTATAAAAACATACATGTATATATAGTGTACACTATTAATAAATGTATTTTGATTATTTGTGTAGGAGTCTTTATTAGATTATTTTGGATTTGTTTCAATGATTGGTTAATATACATGATATTAATTTTATTTCAGGAGCATGAAAATGTGGCACTCCTTCTTCTAGACAAAATCAATGATTCCAATATCTGTAATATAGCAAATAATGAACTAAAAACGTAAGTAATAAGAGAAACAAAAAAAAAAACATCTGACTTGTATTGTAAGATAAGTAAAATATAAGTAAAGCTGAACTCCCATACTTCAAACATCAATATCAAGAGTGAATAATTGTTTGATGTGAGTGAATAACCTTTCCTTGTAAATGTTCATGGCGTCCAGACATGAAATCTGCAATTTATTCCTTAAGTTTTCAGCTCCCACCATGTTCTTCTTTTAAAACCTAATTTAATTATTAAAATATGATTAAAATATGAATGACACCTCCCAGTTTAGTATGTGTACAAGTTAAACTGCAGTATGATTAGTATGGACTTTATTCAAAATCTCTTAAAAACTACTATGTCAGATATATTTTTCGAACATGAACAATGATTAGCACCTCATAGTTTATACTTAACACTGAATTGCAACTGAAATATTATGTACACATAATACATGTATCAAAAAATTCTGAAAAAATTAGCTTTTTTTACAGGCCCTTGCATATAGCAGCTAAATATGGTTTAACTCCTGTTGTACAAGATCTAATAACAAAAGGCAGCAGTGTTTTTGCTATAGATGAAAGCGGTAAGAATTGCACACGTTTTCTTTATACTTGCCTCTAAGCATGGTATGCATTACTGGTTAAAGGTGCATTTGACATTTGTGTGTATTTTAACTTAAGATACATGTAAATATTCTCTAAATCTTTTTTTTTTTTTTTTTTTTTTTGCTGCTTTCATGAAAAAGTCTGCTTTAGACTTGAATTGAGTCTCTCTTTAAAAATGTTATGTACTCACATATAAAATGTTATGTACTAAGAGCTACATATATAATTATTTTCGGGGGGTAGGCATTAAAAATACGCTGATGTAAAAGACGTATTTATTTAGATAAATTATGCTTTTCAAAATCTGCCGTTGGGATCATGAAAACATCTTAAGCCTAAGTAGAAAAAATGTATTTTGCACTAAAATGATTTAAAAATCAAGCAGTCAAAAATTAAAAGTTTTTATTAACTTAACATCAATAGAATCTTGTACGTAAAGTTTCGGTGCACAAGTAATGAACATTTTAAAGATGATTAAAAAAAAATATGACCTAAGTCTCAGTTCATAAAGTCAAAGTTTCATAATGCCAGGAGCTAACTTCATTAAGCCTAAGTCATTTCATGTTCTCTGTGGGACTTGGCTTCATTTTTTTTCACTTCTCTCTGTCTTCTGTTTCAGGCCACACTCCGGCCTTGGCATGCGCCCCCAATAACCGCGTTGCTGACTGTTTAGCCATTATTCTCGCTCATATGCCTCTTGCCCCCACCCCTAACAACGTCTACCCCAGGGCCAATCGATTTGACAGCAGTACGCCTAATAACACATTTGGTAAGTCACCGCATTTATGAATCATTGCATGAGTTTATGGAAGGTTCATTGTGTCTTGCATATGATAAAATATGCCTTAGTGAATGTGCATGCCTTGCTAAAGTTTATCAGGAAGATTGCTTGCTCTTTTCTAATTTTTTTACTGAATTTCCTTCAAGTTTAAAATTTTATTTAAGCAATTTGATTGCAAGTTAAACATGTTAAAGATCAATGCCCATGCAAGTAATGCAGCAAACTTTTACCTAAGAGAGCAATGGATTTCTTAATTGCCTTGTGAAGGTAATGTTCACAATATCAAAATTTGGAATATAAAGTTGTGATGTTTCACTTTCTTGCAGGGGGAACCAGAACACTGGAACCCACAGGGGACCAGATTAGCATAGGAAGTCCTTCCAGTTCTGTTCAAGATGTGAAGGAACACTCAGGATCATATCAAAGTTCTGACTCCGAGTTCTACTGAGGCTTAATACTTCACAGATCTGATGAGCACGGACATCACCACCATGATGTATGAATGTCTGACATGTATCAAAATTTGTGCTTACTGCCATGAAGTTATGTTTCCACAGGGGACCAATTTATTTTAAATGAAATTTTTGAATGGATACAATTTCATGTTTTCGTTGTTGCTGTCACAAGATCATGCATGAGTAAGCATTCATACAAATTCATTAGTGAGACATCTGAAATAAAAGATATCCATTTTACTGAGAGAGCATATATTTACCACATGGCCATTGTATATGCATTAAAATGTTTATCTGAACATTATCTGAACACTCTAAAATTAGCACAGAAACTGATTTTTAAGGCTTCTTAAAGCTTTTTTTTTCGATGAGTTCTAGAAGGTACCCCGGGGATGCAACTTGATCTGTCATTGCGGACTGAGTTCCACCAAATGTTATCAGTTTCTTTTAATATATTATACAAAAGAGGGATACAGTTTAAAACAGAGAAATGTCACAGTATATTAGCCACCATATACATGTATATCTGCTTTTAAATTTTCTTTCAAGGTGTGAAGATGTTACTTCTCTTGAAAGTCAAAGTGTGAATTTTTTATCCCAAAATTTTTCATCAGAGATTTGCAAATTACTATAATTTAGATTCATGTTTGATATATTTTTGGTGCTTTAAATAATAAACAGAGAATATTCAAATTCCTACCTCATTGTCATAAAAGGAAGGTGAAAGTTATAAGCAGTATGTACTTTTGCTATACGATGCCCATATCAGATTCGTCTCTTCATCCTGTACCGGAGATTTTTTTTTGTTCCTTTTTTGCTGTATCTTAAAAGCAAGTGCAACTTTTCTCCTGAAAATTAACACGCTGGACAGTAATCTATATTCTGATCACAATCATTCTTATTATAATTTTACTGGGGAGGGTGGGGTGGGGAGGGGGTTTGCAATTTCCAGTTTTAAATTAGATATTGATTGGTTATTTTAAAAATACATATTCTGTACTGAAGGTAGTTGCATTAGGAGGGAGTGCTATTATTCAGTTAAAGTTAACCTTATTTAGCATTATCATGTTCTGATGTGCTTAATTTTTTTTTAAGTTTCAAAACTTGATTTGGTTTCTACCAAGTAGAGATTCAAGTGTCTTATTAGATGAGACGAGATCTGCCGGTGTATTTCCGACTTTAAATAAATTTCAATGTATATATACTTGTACTTAATGATGATGTTCAATTTTTTATACAGATTTATTTAACACAACATATTGATTTATTATAGACAACTCATGTATATTTAATTGATATACTTCTGTATAGGAAGAATTTTTAGCATTGTATATTAAAAGTTTTCACATTTGTAGTGTCTCATTAAATCAGTATTTGAAATTAGTTTTGTTTGCCAACTCTAATTATATAAGTATTTGTGTTTATTAGTATGCTTTAACTTGTATACCATAGGACCAATTTATATCATACTTTCAAAAAATACAGGTATATGTAGTTTAGTATGCAGGGGTTTGCCATTTAAAGCACAAATCTTATTCATATAGTGTAACTCGAAGTTCAAACTCAAATTTGGAGAAAATTTCCGCTAAACAGAATTTTAACATAAAATTTAGACAAACAATTATTTTTCAATCTGTTATTTCAGCACATAAAATTTGTCAAGTCATATTTAGATTCCATCAGATTCTCAACCTGGGTATTTAAAGTTGAAAAATATTTTTAGCTTTTCATAACAATCATTAATGCTTTATGGAGTAACAGAAATGATTTATTATCACATGAAGATCATTTTCAGTGTTTCATTTTCATATAGAGCACATGCAAAGAGATACATGTATATATGGATTCACTCATATTTTGGCCCTCTCCCCTTTTTCATTTACCGGTATAAAAGTTAAGCATCAGTGAATCACAATGAATTTTTTTGTTATTGTTGAAAGATAAGTATTTATTTTAGATGCTTAATTTTCATATAATTAGAAATTTTCAGAATGGGGTCCAATAAGGGTCCTAACCATATATCTAAATATTTTAATAGTTAGTCATTCAAGGAAGACTGTTTTAAAGGGGCTGGGGGGTTGTGGCCATTTTCAGACTATTTTGACCTCCTTTAGAAGAAGAGCTCCATATAAGGAAATACAAAAATGTTCAAATTTTAAAACTAAAATGTATGAAATTTTTCTTTGTGAATTGATAGTTGACAGCTTAAGATATAATATCTAAAAAATTGAATTAAATCTGGTGGTTAATTTGTTAATTTGTTGACTCCACAGCCTCCTTAATGCTTTGCCATCACATAAGGAGAATTAATTCACTACTTTATTGGGTCATTTGGAGAGGTTTTGTCTAAATTAACTGTATTAAAATCATGATTTTTGGTGATGGTCAAATTTTTCATGCTTTGTAATTGAAGATGCAAGACAAACATGATTCTTATTTTGAAATTATGTTGAGAACATTATCATAAACTGAAACATCTTTTTAAGAGAAAACATCATTTTCATATTCAGTAGGCACAAATGTACAAGAAGCAAGACTTGATTTATTTGACACAAGCATTTTTGTGTGTGTATCATATTTATTGTTGGTTAAAAGTGCTTTTAATTTTGACATCGCAGTGTTGTTGAATTTTCAGAGTTTATGTTACAAGTTGAATTTGAGATGACCTCAATTTTTAAGAAAATAGCTCTGTTGATAACTGTATTGTAGAAAGAGTAATATAATATTTGGGAACTCTAATGGTTGTCCAGAAGGCAGATTCATTAATAAAAATAAATTCCTTTGGAACTGTACAAGTAGTGAACTTAAAAGAATTTTGTAAGAGTTTGTTTTAATATTTCACGTGTAATTTATAAAAAAAACCTGATTAGCATAAATATAAAACTTGATATAGTTTCACTTATCTAAGATTATCCCTAGTGAAAGATTAAGGACTTCAAGAGATATTTATATAATTGTTGATATAATTATCCCCTGCAGTGAGTGTGTGTTATCATATACATTTTGAAACAGATTCATTGGAGTGACTTATCCCTCTTTTCAATATTCACTTTTCTCTCATCGTACTGTTTTGTGTGTTAAATGATTTGAGATGAAGAATTTAGTTACTAGTATGTTAGATATTAAGAAACTGTTCTCTCAATATTGTGAGATACAGTTATAAGGACCTAAAAACATTAATTTTGTTTGAAAAACAATAACAATTTATTAATAATAAATATGTTGTCCAAAACTCAGATGGATAGTAAAATACATAGAAAATAAAATAAATTTAAAACACCTTATTGTTAGTGTGATCCATTTTTACATGTTTTAACAATGCAAAACTGGAGCAGAGCAAACACAGACCTACAAAACAGCAGTGATTTGAACTGAATAATTATAATTATTAAGATTTTTCACTAAATTAGACATTTCATAAGTTGAAAACACACATATTTACATTAGAAAATCAATTAACTTTCATATAAACGTTAAGAGCAGAACAAATATATGGATCTCCGAAAACAACAGAGGTGATATCAGATTGCATGGAACATACCCTGGTGATAGGTCACACCCGCCGTGTACTCTTCATTATGATCTGCAAAAAGCGAAAATATCCATAGACAATTCAGTGTGTAAAAAAGGTTATCAATTAGTATGAAAAACGTCAGTCAGCACTTAACATATAATGACAAGTTGTACACAAGGTCATGATATCGTCCACAAAACTTGCGAAATGATGAATTCAAACGAGATTGTTGATATCCTTACATGTATTTCATCAACTTGTTTTTCAATATAGTTTACCTCGTTTTAAGTGTTTGCAATCAGAATGTGTTTCAAAAAGAAAATTTTGCGAATGACCAATGACAAGGTAATATAAGTAAATTTACGAGTGCCATTTTTATTGAAAAAGCAAACACAAATGATATAAAAAAGCCTGGACCTTTATTTATCGTGGGGAATGGTTGTATATAGAGTTGAAAAGTCGTAAGATTTAAGCTGTTGATTTTTGTAAAATCTTGTGATTTCAAATCGTTCAAAAGTTTCTTGGAGTTTATGAGTATCCGCATCTGATTCACAAAACCTTTGAATATGTTGTTGCACAATACTCTCGAAGTTTTCCTTCACTACTGTCAATATCTAGTGAGGAGTATAGAAAGAGGCTTGGTTGCACATTTACTGGAACCCGAAATGTTTCTTTGTAAGGATTCTCATGAAATTTCGGAATCCAATATATATATATGGTAGTCCAAATTCATTTTCGTTCTTCAGGATATTTAAAATATTCAAAACTGACATATGATTTTGAAGAATTTCGTCCTTAGAAAGGGATCTATGAGTGAAAGTTCCTCTAAAATACAATTTATATAATGAGCCTTACAAACAAAAACAATGTTACCTGCTTTGTCAGCAGGGACCAGTACATCTAATTCTTTTTTCACTTCTGGATTATTGAATACAAATGGATAGATGGTTTTCATATTGCCCCTCAATCTTTTAATACGCGATTTTAACATGGATCTGATACATGATTCAACGTCTTCTTTTTCATATCTGGACCATCGTTTGGCGTAATCTTCAACAGAATCCATATTTATGAAATTCCGACGTCAGTTAAAGGATCGAGGTTCCCTTTTTATTAACTTGACATTTAGATATATCGACGACGTATTGTCAATTAACAATAGTAATTTCCATTCCTACGTCGATATGATATATCCTGGAGAGCTTGTGATATAAAATACCACACAGTCTGACACATTTGTTTTATACTTGGATATTTTACTTGAAAAAGACGTTAATGGTAATCTTACAACCAAGCTATATGATAGACGTGATGACCTCAACATTTCTATCGTCAACTTCCCTTACTTATGCAGCAATATACCCTCATCACCTGCATACGGAGTGAATATATCTCAGTTGTTATATCTCAGCAAGAGTTCGGAAGCCCATTTAGGACCTATCGAAAAATATTTTTAAATCCGATATAACGAATTGTCGAATTTGTTATAACGAATTTAATTCGTGATAACAATTTCTTTGAATTCGTTAAAATGAATTTAATCTGTTGTAACAAGTCGAAAATTCAAAAATTTGTTAATACGAATTAAACTCGTTTTAACAGATTCTAAAACTTGTTATAACGAATTGAATTCAATTAAACGAATTCCATAATTTGTTATAACGAATTAAATTCGTTAAAACGAATTCGACAAATCGTAATATCGAATTCATATATATTTTTCTATAGACCCTGATTATTGAATTCGATCAAACGAATTTAATTCGTTATAACAAACTTTGGAATTTGTTTTAACGAATTTAATTTGTTATAACAAACTTAAGAATTTGTTTAAACGAATTTAATTTGTTATAACAGATTTTTGATTTAATTCGTTATAACAAATTAAAGAATTCGTTATAATGAATCAACAAATTTGTTACAACAGATTAAATTCGTTATAACGAATTCAAAGAAATTGTTATAACGTATTAAATTCGTTATAACAAATTGGACAATTAGTTATATCGGATTCAATAATATTTTTCGATAGGTCCTAAATGGGCTTCCGTACAAGAGCATGCTCTACGCATGTACAATATCTATAACGAGGTGAATTATTGACAGGCAAGTTGATGAAACAAGAATATCAGCAGTCTCGTTTAAAGTCATCATTTCGTAAGGTCTATGGTCGATACAAAGACCTTGTCAACAAACACAATTTATCATTGTGTCAAATGCTGACTGACCTTTTTCATACTAATTATTAGTCCATTATTTATACATTGAATTGACGCGGGTGTGAGGTTAGCAGGGGACCCACCCTCCATTTAAGTCCTTGTTATTAGAGAGGTTTAGTTTCACGATTTGCGACGAACTTTTACGAGTGACGTAATCAATTGTTGTGTTCTTC